AAGAAAAAAAAAGGAAACAAAACAAAAATTTCCAATTGCATGAGGTACGTTCTAAATTATGCTATCTCGTCCACTAATTTTATCTCAACAAGACAAACGTTACCCGACGAAGCGGAAGTTCTTCATGCTATACACATTGCAATTTGCAACTGCAATGTATTTCCAATTACATGAACATGCTTTATTTCTGGGACAAGTTCTATATAGAATTTTTAACTTTTTAGAAAAGCTGTTATTTTGCATTTTCTCCAAATTAATTATTATCAATATGGATCCACAGGTGATATTCTTCTCCCTTTTTTTCCTTTCTTTCTTTTTTTTTTTTTTTTGGCAAGATTGCTATAATTAATTTACTTCAATTTCTATAATTAATTATATTAATAAAAATAATTTTAATTTCACTAAAAAAAATTATGGTATTTTTTCTGCAGACATTTGAAGTTTATGTTGCTTATTTTAATCTGACAATACCGGTTATGCTTCCAGTGACTGCAACCATCCTTGACCTCAAACTACAAATCAAGACGTTCCTGGGTCACCCAGTTCACACGCAAGATCTGTTCTTGAGGCAGAAGCTGCCAGAGCCATGGCTGCTAGAGTTGGAAGATGGCACCATAGTGCGAAATGTGGTATGTGGAGATGACAAGACCCTCTTCCTCAAGGTGAAATTCAGTGTTTGGGTGAGGACTGGATTTGCCTCAGCCGATTGGTTTGAACTAATTGTCTATACCGACGACACCATGCTCACCATGAAGACAATGCTTCAACAACAATATGGGATTCCGGTGGAGGACATGAGTTTGGCAATCGTTGATCCTACCACCGATGAGTTCGTTGTTCTGGATGATCGTGCTGAAATTCGTAGCATTAACATTCCTCTAAGGGCGGGTATTGATTTTCATTTAGTGTAATGAAAATAATTAAAGAGCACATGATAGTATTTGATCACCATAATAATAATAATAATAATAATAATAATAACTCAACAAATTGAAAGCGTTCTTCTAATGACGGTAAAAGCTGAGTTTCCTTGGTTTGGACTTTCTTCAGAACTTGTAAAACCCAGTCACCATGTTAAGTAAAGATGCACAGTTTTATTTTATGCCGAGGTTCTGGTGCTGCTTTTTTTGCAAGTATTCCAGCAAAGAGGCACCTTTTCTTTAGTCCCTTGGGGCTCGACTATAACAAAATCGCTCACCTTCTTCAAGCAATAATGATTCCAACATTTCATCTCACTTGGACTGCAGCACCCTCCATTTTCTCTATCCTTCAACATCTTGAATAGAAACTGTTTAGGCACACAAAACACATACCATAGTAAGAAATAATTAACGTCAATTTGAAGCCCTTTTTTTTTCCTGTACCTATGAAGCAATTGGAAATCACATGATATATGGAATTCAAGTGTGACCTACACACTATGTACTACCCATCTTGTAATGCTATGTCTTACTAATTTTGTAGATGTGATTGGACAATCTACCTAATATTTTTAAAGTTAAAATGTTCTAACCTTTCACATTCTTTATATATAATTCAAAACATACTAGTATTAGTCGATCAATACACAAATAAACAATCGGCTGAATTCCTACCCCTACCCTGTTTAAGACATTAGGGCCAAAATTATTTTAATTATGGGCCAAGGCTCTTAATTATTAGCCCATAACGTTAGCAGTTTGAGATAGAGATGAGTATTGGATATGAGCATACTTGTTACTTATATAAAATATCTTTTTTGTTTAGGCATTTATTATATTTAAATTATGAAAAAATTAAACAAATAATGAGTATGAAAAAAAAAGATGTAAGGAAAATATGGTACAACTCAAAATAAAAAGTAATAGCAGAAGTTTATTTTACAAGGTTTGAATTATTTGGTAATTGTACTTAATACTTTAATAATAATCAAAATTTAAATTATGATATTACCATATTATAATTTTTCATACTTTATCTCAAATTATATTTGTTAAAAAAAAGTAGTAGTAAAACTTTATTTTAAAATTTTGAGTGAAGAAAAGGCAAGGATTCGACCAGGTGAGTGGAATAGCTTAAAAGCTTATTTCCCACCGCCCATCGTCTATGAGCCAGTCAATAAAATGATTTTGTATTTTGTGCATAGGCTTTTTTTTTTTTTTTTTCAAATTGTATAATAAACAATAATTTTTTTTATTTCTTAATTCATTTTTAGTCGAACACTTGTAAATTCAACTATAAATTTTTATTTTTATTAAAAAAGTATCACTAAATTATTTAAACTGTGAATTTTTTTATTAATTAGTAGATATTTTATTTTTAATAATAATGATATATGTATGATTTTAATTAAATAATTAATAAAAATAATGTTAATTTTTATTTCTATAATAATCAATGAAAAAATAAAATTAATATACTTAACCTATGCAGCAAAAATTTAAAAAATCCTTATATTTTAGGTAATCAAGTGAAAGTTTTGCCGCCTAAAAAGAAAACGTGAAAATTTTATGATACAATGAACCGAGACGCATGAGGAATAAGGAAAAATCCTTTTGTGTGGATCGAGGAGCAAAGACACTCCATTTTCTTTTTGATGTTATCATTGTCAGCTTACCAAAAAAAAAAAAAAACACATTTTTCAATTGCAATTTGCTCCGAAGTAAGAAAATTTATGGAGGAGCGGAGGCCAGACGGCTATGTTAAAAGCCCACTTGCAATTTAAAAACAAAAACCCCCGTGGTCCCGAACAATAATGACCAGACCTACTAGGGTCCCATAATATTTTATTTTCAAAGCGCAGTCATGTTGAAATAATTTTTTTTTTATAATTTTTAATATATTATTTAATAAATTAATATATTTAATATTATAAATTTAAAATAAATAAATATAAAAAAATATATTAAATCAAAATATATATAAATTTGTGTTTGAAAGATTAATTATGGGGTAGAAAAACG